CATGTACCGTTTCAGGATGAGATTCAAATCTCGGGAGAAATAACCCAGTGAGAAATGACCCATCGAATCGACGTCTATCGACGTCTATAGACGCCTAATTAGACGTCGATAGATGTCGATTCGATGGGTCATTTCTCACTGGGAATGGAAGATTAACATGCGGGTTTTCGCCAAAGCGCATTGAAGTTAATCAAAATATATATGTATGTAATAGAAAATCTCTTGCAAGCTAGCTTAGGTAAACGCTATTTACTTTACGATATACAGGGGATGGACAGAATAATATGAACACCTGGGAAATGCACTACTTTTTTATTAATAAGAAATTATAATTTCTTATTATTAAAAAAAGGAGTGCATTTCCCAGGTATTCACATTATAATTTACCATTTGTCTTTTATACAAATTTTACCCTTGTTTAGAATAAGGTCTTACAATAGTCATCTTGAATAATCACATCAGAATCACCGATGAAATGTTGTACTAGCAGAACATATTTTAATTGATTATATAAGTGATGTTAGCAAGATGAAGAAACCTTATTTTCCAAAATTGTCTTTTTTTAAATTTTAACGATTTTCATCGTAACTGACTGATTTAAAATATCATCGTGTTATTGTTGTATAGCATTGCACTGGTGACTATTTAAGCATTGTATGACCTTATTCCAAACAAGGATAAAATCTCTATTAAAGACAAACAATGGGCCAATCTCTTATTAATAAAATAAGTACTGCAGCGGATGTTTGCTGCAATCGGTGGACTCGTCTGAGAGAATCTTTCTTTAAAGAAAAGAAAAAAAGACAAAATGAAACGACAAGTGGAAGTGGAGCCTCTAAAAGACGAGGATTTGTATACTTCGAGTCTATGAAATATATTGACAAATTTGTCAAAACTAGAAAGTAAGAATTCATTACATTTGATTCTGTGATCTTATTAGCGAGATGGTATATAGTAGAACATTATAATTTTAAAGAAATTGAGATTTTACTTAAATTTATGATAGGATCAGAATTCATAATTTGTAGAAGTAGATTTATTATATTTATATTCAAATTTTTCTTGATTACCTGTGTTTGTCAAGGAGAACTAATTGACATGTTTTACTACACTTTTATTAATCCACAAATTTAATCAAATATAATATGGTTTCAGATCAATAACCAACATCAAGTTACAAAAAACGTATAACATTTCTGATTGTTTAAAAGACAAGAGTCTAAATAAAGAAATTTCAAATTGGGTGCAGCATGGCAAACAGACTCTGGAAAAAGAAAGAACTCCTTTGGACAAATTGATGCAAACATATTTTCACAAATAAAAAAATGCTCAATACCGGAAACATCACCCACTATTAGTAATTTTGATGATGCGTCATGCGCATCTTTTCCTTCGACGACAGAAAGTAGTACAAACGATTTCGAACATGAATTATTGTCAACTCGGTCATCATCCGACACGATTAACTCTTCACGCCTTTCTCCAACGAGCGTAAGATCTACCGGCACTTTCAAAAAGCCGTCATATGCGAAGGGCAAATTTAATCCTAATATATCAATTAAAAAAGACGGAAAAAATACAGAATCTGAAAACGATAAGTTCGAAGCGTCTTTTATTAATTTGAATCAAGCAGTTGCAGAGCATTTGAATTCTAAAAAAGATGGTGCACAAATGCAGAATGATCCAGACACTTCATTTTGCAATCTGGTTATGGCGGAATCAAAACAATTGGATGATGATATAAAACAAGTCAAGAAACAAGAAATCATGAAAATTTTGTGGAGAAAAAACAACTTGTGAGCGAGATGATTTTTGTGATAAAATAAATAATTTGCATTTATTCGTAGGTACATATAATACTCATGTTTTAAGATTGTGCGATATTAATTTTAGTAATAAAATATATGTTTACTGATATATAATAATATTAATAATAATAATATTAAAGAAATTTTGTACTATTTATTTTATATTCACATAATAAATACATATTAGCATTACATTTCACAATATGACACGTGTGTAATCAATCGATCAAATGTTTACGTGTAGATAAAGTCTTGATTTTGTTCTCTCGTTACATAATCATGCTGCCAATTGACCATTCCATTTGGAGTCATAAAATAATTGCAAAGAGAGTCCCTAATGTGCATCGCAAATGCTGCACCATTTTCGTTATTTTCAATAATTTTATCATTGTTTTCAAATTGTAAAATATTACCTTCTTTGTTTCTTAAGAAATTGTGCAAACATACAGTTGCCAAAATATATTTATTGATATTTTCAGGAATCGCAGCGATCGGTCTGTTATATATACCCCACTTTTTTGCCAAAATCCCAAATGTATTTTCTATTATACGCCGGGCTCGCAAAAGTCTATAATTAAATATGTTTTTGCGTTCCCCCAAATACCGTCCAGCATATGGCCGCATCAAATGCTTTCCAATGGGAAATGCTTCATCCCCAATAAAAAAATAAGGCACTTGTATATCGGTTCCGCTTAAGCAACTGGTTCCTTCTGGAATATCCAGCATCTCATTCGTCACATTCAAATCGCTGTTCCCATAAATTCCCGCATCACTGTTCTTCCCCATTGACCCAATATCCACCAAAGTGAATTGATAATTGTGATCACACACAGCCAAAAGTACGATGCTGTATCGTTTGTGATAATTGAAGTACAGCGTACCAGAATTAGGGGGGCATTGAGCATCGACATGTTTTCCATCAATTGCCCCCAAGCAATGTGGAAAATTCCATAATGTCCAAAAACCCTCAGCAATTTGTAAATATTCTTCTCTTGAAGGAGCTCGTAGATAGATAGGACCAAGAAGTCTTCCAAATACGTCACACGTCTCTTTAATTATTTTATGTACTGTTGATAAACCAACACGATAGGCAAAAGCAACTGCTGGAACTTTGTCTCCAATCAGAAATCTGTAACATCATTATCAATATTATAATATTAATCGCCAAACTGTTTTTACACATATGTATTGTTAGACTACGAGTAATCCGAACATATACCGCAATGTAAAAGCAACTCTTTGCTCTGGTTCAAGTGCCCGTGGACTTTGTTTCATTAAACTTGGATTAACAATGTCCATCAAGTGCTGGAATGTTGGCAGTGTCATACGTGTATACTTGTGGAACATTTGCTCATCTGTTTTCATCTCCTGAAAAAGATTGTAAAACGCTCCTTGCTGTCTTCTCCTTGTGTTAATTGGTCGTACCCAGACACGCCGGCGGCGACGATGACGTTCATGATTTCTACGACGTTGCACCAAAAGTGCTCCCATGTTGACCAGAGCAATTAACAACAAATCGAAATCATCCATTTCTGTGAAAAAACAAATGTAATTCAATCCAATGCAGTCTTCTCGAATTAAAATCACATTCAGAATTGTATGAACTAATTGCAAAAACGTTAAAGAATGGCCGAACAGCGCAAACATCAAATATCAAAATGAGTGAAAAATATTCAATGATACATAAAAAATATTAAAGTATTATTCGAGAAAATTAACCAAATCAAGAGAATGTTTTAATAATAAATTTTTACACCTAAACTGTATATAAAACTTACCAAAAATTATGAGAAGATGCGTTTATTTTGCAATAAATTACAATTTCTGGTGATCGCCTCGGACTCGACGACGTCTCGCTATCCGTCTTCGGATCTTGCGCCGATTTAGCTTTCGACGCGTCTTGATTCGAGTTTGCTTGCGTCTTGATAGTGGCGGAGTTCTGAGCCTTCAGAGTAGAAAGCAATTTGGATACTTCGGCACTGATATCAATTCTGCTCAGGTCACCTAATTTGTCCACAATGGCGGCCGGCTGGGGTACGTTGGACACGGATGTCGCAGGCTGGGACTCCTCCTTGATAACGAGGTTTTGCGTCTTCTCGATAGGCTCGATTTCGTCTTTCGAACTATCCACTATAGTAAGATTACCTTCCTCGTCATCATCATCATCGTCCTCGTCATCCGAATACCAATCTTCGATAATCTGATCGGTATTAGGTGCATCGGACTCGTTGTCCGTTATGTCCGTTATGTCCTGTATGTTTTTCAAACTGTCCTGAGCCGCGCGTTGCTGCTGCTCTATTCGGCACACAAAATCAAATTAACCTTAAAACACTATGTTTACGAAACTGAGACAATTCATACTAATATAATTATATACGGTCATTGTCAGTTCGTATTTTCATTACGTTGATAATTAAATAATGAGAATACTTACGTGTTAATCAATATAAATCCGTTCTTTGTTCTTAATTACTTTTCTTTAGGACCGGCTACAATGAGAATGTATGTGCCTTATGCCCGTGGCTATGCATTATGTATTTTTATGTAGATTGGAAATTCAGAAGCCATGGGCAGAATACAGAAACCATAGCGCATGCGCTATGATATCTGCCATTCTGCCATAGGCAGATAGAGTAATACCATAGCGCATGCGCTATGGCTTCTGCATTCTGCCTATGGCTCCTGTAATTTTATGTGCTTCCACCTTAAGGGGGGCAGCGCTCCTTCTGCACAAAAGAGCAGTGCGGCGACCAAAGTTGCGCCAAAGAACCCGGCTAAGCCTAATACAAACGGGAAGGTATCAAAAGCTGGGAAAAGGAAATTGCCGCGCTCGGCGGCGATAACCTTAACCAGCCTAGACGGGGAATACGATTCCCTATTGAAGGAGGCTACCCAGAAAATATCCCTAAAAGAGCTGGGAATAACTGGGGGGTTTAAGCCTAAAAGGGCCCCGACTGGGGCCTTAATGATAGAGATCCCGGGCAAAGAAGGTGTGGCAAAGGCGGATATCCTTGCCGAGCGCCTGTCTGCCCTCTTTGCAAGACGGCCAGAAGTAAAAGTGGCCAGACCCTGCAAGATGGGGGGGAGTTGAGGATACTCGATATAGTAGACTCAACTACCGAGGTGGAGCTGGCTTCGGCGGTAGCGGAAGCTGGCGACTGTCAGCCCACGCAAGTACAAGTGGGTGAATTCCGCGGGGCCCAACGGATTTAAGAGCGATTGGATAAAATGCCCCCTTGTGGCTGTCAACACGATCTTGAAGAAGGGCAAACACATCCAAATAGGATGGTTTATTGCCCGCATGCAGGCGCTCGAATTAGGCCCCTCCAATGCTTCCGGTGTTTGGAGGGGGGCCACGTTCAGGCGCAATGCACGAGCGCTGTTGATCGTAGCTCTCGTTGCTACAGATGTGGCGAGGATGGCCATAGAGCACGAGAGTGTGCGGCCGCGATCAGGTGCCCACTGTGCGCCGATCTTGGCAAACCAGCGGGTCACCGAGTAGGAGGTAAGGCCTGTGCCTCCGCCAGGAGGAAAACTAAGCCTGGCAGGGGGCCCAGGCCCAAGTCTTCCTCGGCAGGTAACGAGGCGGCTGCTATGGAGGTGGAGACGGCGTCTGAGATCGCTCGCCGTTTACCCACCATAACAAATATAGAGAAGGTGTCCACTACCATCCCCAAGAAGGCTCCTGTTAAGAGAGCTGCCTCAGACACCGCAGGAGGCGTGGATATCGTCGGGAAGGCGGATAAGTGGAGGGCCTTCCTGACCTACTGTGGTCAGGTTATGGCCCTCAAAGAAGATGCGGAGCGGATTCGCCGAAGGGAGCGTCCCGCGGCGGGTCCCTCCCAAAATTGATCTTTTCGGCGGGTCACGTCCTGACCCTGCCGATCTCCCTACCATAATCGGGGAGAACTGCCGCAGCAAAAGCGGCAAGAGATGGGCCGCACCTCCAGACTTTCTCCCTCCGACAGGGGGAGGGGGTCTGGAGGACGGGAGGTTCGGCACTCCGGCTGGGATTCCGGGTGCCGAACCAATACCTCCCACAACAACGGGAGAGGGCGGCGGGGTGGGTGGTGTCCACGCCCCGCCGCATACGCTATGCTGACTCCTAAGAGTCTTCGAGCCTCAATGGCTCGCAGGAGAAAGCCCAAATTGGGCTAAGCGTCGGGAGGCGTCCTGGATGCAGTTCTCAAATGTTCCCAGGCGCCTCCCATAAAAACGCAACGCTGGACACTCGTGTGGTTTTTAGCCGGTAAAAATCCGGCACTCTCCTTGTTCCTCTCCCAGGAGGGCGAGAGGGTCTTTCCCTCTTCATCAGAGGGGCTACTGTGTAAACCGAGCCTCGGCTTGGGATCCCAGTAGTAAAAGATTTTCCACACATAAAAAAAAAGGCCTACTGGGGACACCATGTAAAAAAAACGCGCCTTGTATCTTACCTCAAAGGTGGTGCGGAAATGGATACAACGCTCGACGTACACATTCGTCACTTTGTATTTCGCAAACGGTTTATCGTACGTGAAAAATGAATAGAACCATTTTTATACAGAATTTCATGATCTTTCTTTTTTATAACCACCTTAATTGACCTCCGAGCCATACAAAACGAGATTTTCGCAAAAAACTGATTTTCGTAACCTTTGACCTTGAATAATTTTTTTAGCACACCCGATATCGTTCTCTATTTTTAATATGTTATTTAAAACAACAAAATAAAGCGATTAAAAAAAAGTAGTTTCTAATTTTTTTGCACAGAAAACCTAAAACGACTGGACTATATATCGTAAAGTAAATAGCGTTTACCTAAGCTAGCTTGCAAGAGATTTTCTATTACATACATATATATTTTGATTAACTTCTATGCGCTTTGGCGAGAACCCGCATGTTAATCTTCCATTCCCAGTGAGAAATGATCCATCGAATCGACATCTATCGACGTCTAATTAGGCGTCTATAGACGTCGGTAGACGTCGATTCGATGGGTCATTTCTCATTGGGTTATTTCTCCCGAGATTTGAATCTCATCCTGAAACGGTACATG